GCTCTGGTCCAGGGGGTCACGAAGAGTCGGACACGACTAAACAACAACAGGAGGAGGGGGGGCGAACCCAATTCTCCAGGTACCCAAGCCTTGGCCCCTTTCCACTCCTCCCATAGCACAACCCGGCAGGGAGAGCGTGAAAGCAAGCGCGAACGCCACCTGTTGAACTTCTGCCTGTCACGCTGAGGGAAGAAGAGGCGGGGAAAGGGGAAACCAGACCAAGCCTAACAAGGGCAGGGAGCCACCCTCAGAGCCGGGGGTGGGGTGAGGTGACCTCCCTCGCCTGTCTGAAAAAGCTCCCCGGAGAGGCCGGGCTGCCAAGGGTGAAGCTCCCCGCACCCCTCGCCTCCCCACAGCCGGCCTTTTCTGGGTCTGAGGGAAATATTTCTCCCCCCACCTCAGAGAGCGGTGGGCGGAGCTTCTCACGACCCCGCCTTTCATACCTGAGAGCGGCTCTCCGCGGAGTCAAGGCCAGCCGCGCGGCGAGCGCCTTCCCAACGGCCCGGCCGCTCCGCGCCATAGTCAACCCTCCGCCGCCGCCGCCGCCGCTTAGGTCTCCCTCACGGCCCCCATCCCATCCCTTCCTCCACTCCGGAGACACCCGCCCTCCCGGCGGCTTGTCAACTCCTGGGCCCCGCCTCTTGCCCCGCCCCTCTCGTAGGCCGGCCCAATCGGCCCCGAGCGGCCACCAGCTCTCAGCCAGTCAGCGGAGCGCTCGCCACGCGCTGCCCTCCCCCCTCTCTTGACGCGCCCCTTCTCCTTCGCGGACGCCTCACCCCGCCCACCCTCTTCCTCCCACCCCCGCCTCCCCAAAGGCACGTGATTTGCCGAGCTCGCGCAAGGCCGTCGACAGGCTCGCGGGGCCGCGCGCGGTCACGAGGCCTTTGCAGCCGGGCGGGCGCTTGGGTTACATAAGGGCCTTTTAAGCCCGTGGAAAGTTAAAATTAGCAGGCGATTGGTTGGCGGGGGTGCCTGTCACTTCGCTCTGTTACTCCGCGGCGCCGCGCGAAGCCGCCAGTCATAGTTGGGTGTGGGAAGACGTCGGAGCTCTTTTCCCTCCCTCTGCCAAAAATGTTCTCTCTCTTTCTTATATATTATATAAAATATAATAACACACACACACACATATATATGTTATAAAATATATATTATATACGGTATATTTAACGGCCCCCTGTATGTTTACAGGGGTGGAGAGATAAAATATACATGTACACACAAGAGACACACACACACAAACGTGAAATGGAGATATTATCGATCTCCCCCCTCCCTTAAATAAACAAGCAAAAGTTCATATTCAAGTTGTATGGCTTGTCCTTGCTCTCAGTTTTCCCAACACACAACCATCTGAAGTTGTTTCAGATTCAGGCGCTGCTCATGGCATCTCTTGGCCCCCAATCAATAAAACTAGTAAACCCTCCCAACTTCCGAGTGCCCCTATTTTCCAGAGACAGTCCCGGAATTACAGAAGCAGTCCCGGTTTCTAATTTGTTCCGCTTTTCCTTAGGACGTCCCTATTTTGATCAGAGAAATGTTGGAGTGTATGGAGTTATGCGATCCCCTGCCCCAGCCAAGGAGATAAGTCACTATACAGCCTTTAGAAGTCCATCTGAAGGCAGCCCTGTACCTCGGGTTAAGAACTTAATTCGTTCTGGAGGTCCGTTCTTAACCTGAAACTGTTCTTAAACTGAAGCACCACTTTAGGTAATGGGGCCTCCCACTGCCGCCACATTTCTGTTCTCATCCTGAAGCAAAGTTCTTAACCCAAGGTACTATTTCTGGGTTAGCGGAGTCTGTAACCTGAAGCGTCTGTAACCTGAGGTACCACTGTATAGGGAAACTTTAAAAAAAATGTTTAAATGTTTTATTATGTTTTCGTGTATGTTATAATGGAACAGGACATCTCTATTTACATCAGAGAGAAAAGCTGGGAGGGTATGGACTAGACCAGGCACCCCCAAACTCAGCCCTCCAGATGTTTTGGGACTACAACTCCCATCATCCCTAGCTAACAGGACCAGTGGTCAGGGATGATGGGAATTGTAGTCCCAAAACATCTGGAGGGCCGAGTTTGGGGGTGCCTGGACTAGACATTTGCCTGGGTGGGGTATGTGTGTGTTGAACCCAGGCCTTGGTTCCTACCAAACCTAACATTGCATGTGTTTGCCAGGGGCAGCCACATTTTGCCTTTTCAGAGGAGTAAAGCAAGCCGTTTCGTAGAATCACAGAATCCACAGAGGTAGAAGGGACCCTGAGGGTCATCTAGTGCAACCCCCTGCAATGCATGACTCGCAGCCAAACAATCCCTGACAGGTGGCCAACCAAGCTCTGCTTAAAAACCTCCCCCTTCCATCCTCCAATGTCCTGCCCCCCCCCGAAACCTCCTCAGTGAACAGTTGGCCATCACCAGCAAAGGTAAGTGCTGGCATCTGCACCCCCAGTCATGCGTGTCCCCTCCCAGTTCCATCACAGCCAGGGGCCCCAAACATCTGCATCCTTCCTGCCCAGGGAAATGGCTCCTGACCCCTGCCCAGCACCATCCCCCATCCCCAGATGCCCTCTGCTTGCAGAGCCCAGGGACCCGAGTTCTGATCCTGCGCCACGGTGGCTGGCTGGCCTACAACTACAACTGTCAGTAAGTAAAGCTGCTCCTACTGAAAATGTGGAAAATGCAAAAACAAACAAACAAATAAAATTATTTATTAAATTTGTACACTGTACTGCCCTTCATCTGAAGATCGCTGGGTGATTTGCACATACAGTAAACCCGCAATGTAAGTGAAATTTATGTTCTAGGGATCACATCTAAAGCCAAAAGCACATATATGGTTCAAAGTCTCCCCCCCCCCCCCCCCGTATGCCTGTTCCTTTTCTGCCCCGCATTTATTTTTTCAAAAGTTTGCCAAGCACGTAAAGCTCAGTGTGCAGAAGCTAAACGCATACGTTGCGGGCTTATCAAATGTTCTGCACATGACAAGAAGAATGGCAGTGCAAGAATGGGGAATAGAAGAAACAGCTTCTTACACTTACAATTTCCTCTTAACTCCTATCTTTCTCTAAAACTGGTAACTTAAAAGCCCAGGCTCACAAAAAGGTCTTACTTAACAATATGTTAGTGAAATAAGAATAAAAAATGGGGTCCCTTCAAGGGGTTCAGCTTCTTAAGGAAGACTGGACCTTCGGAGAGAGCGTACCTTTTAAGGCTCAAACCGGTCGAGAAATGAACAGAGACCAGACCAGGATATACAAAAGCAAAGTGGCTATAAGCCTGATCTTTATTAAAGCTGTTCTTTATTAAAACGGAGTGCTCCCCCCACACACGAGAGAGGAGGACCCAGGACAAAGGTGTGCAAGCCCTTATATAGACTTTGAAATTGCCCACCCTGTAACTCAAGACCACCCGCCAGATACATCATACCTACATCACAGAAGAGGCGGTCTACAGCAGCAAACCTGTCTGCCAGGTTACCCGAGAATGATAACTGATTACATTATTTTGGCAGTCTGGAGATTCCTTTGTAATGGTAAATACTCAGTTCCTGAGTCCAGGTCACAGGCTCGCCCTATTCATATCTTAAATGTGCCCTTAAGACAGGATTTGTGAGACAATGGGGAGATTTCCCATTTCCTTTGACCTTGCAGAGAAATATTTGAGGTTCTTCTGGGGAGAGAGAAAATGGTTTCAGGACTTTTCTGTGGGTTTCAGACATGTGGTTTACATATTTGCATGTGTTTGCTTGGTACATTTGTGAACATCTATTATATATATAAGACCTTAAAAGTCTTGTAACAAGACCTATTATATCATTTAAGTCTAATTTAGTCCTAGGCCTGATTGGTTCTTTCAAGTGGTTACATATCTTTAATATTAGAATATTTATTCAAATAGTCTTTAAATTTCTTCCAATCTTCTTGGTAGTCCTCTTCTTTCTGGACTTAAATGTATAAATAAGTAAATGTACAATAAGAAAGGTAAAGAAATTGGAATATGACTGTAATATTGTTTTATGAAATAATGATATTGGAAACTGCTACATTCAAATTAAGAGGAGATTCAGATGGAGGAGATTAGAGGAAGTCAACTAAAATGTTTATGAAAATGGATTTTAATTAATTAATTGAGTTTCTTTTTTCTCTCTTTAGGTATGTTAAGTTTGTTGTTCTTTTTTCTTCTTTTTCACTTCTTTATTGTGTTGTTGTTGTTGTGTTGTTGCATATTCTCTTATTTGTTATGTCTATTGAAAATTAATAAATATTATTGTGAAAAAGACCTATTATATCAAAGGCAGTAGGAATAATTACTCAACCCTGCCTGTTTCATGCGCAGAGGATTCTAAATGAATTATCTGCTATAAGATCACACTCTTCATCCCCCAAGCAAAGTCTGATTCAGTCACATTTCTTGCCTCAACATACTTTGCTGAAGGGAAACAAAATCAGGATGGGGCTATACTATAGAACTAATAGAATAATTAACAGCACACTGTAAATAATGAAACTCACTGAGATGGGTGTAAGCCAACTTAAAAGTCTGTTTCAATAGCCTTAGGCAGAATTAAGCCATTATGGTGAAAACTTCAGCCTGCTGTATCTGCTTTTCTAAGTTTCAAGGAGAAATCCTGACTCCAGATGACCTTCAGGTAATTCAGGACTGGCAAATCTCCCACCCTAAGCAAAGGAAAGAGCATTTACCATTTTTAAAGGAAGAGTTCTGCAACATCCGTTTCAAAAAGTTTCCGCCAGGCAGAGGCTAATCTTCCAGATATCTGTTCTATGTTTAGAAATGAGAGTGGCTAATTTAGGCACTGCATTAATTAGATTCTTATTTCACAAGCTGGAGCACTTATGAAAGGGTGGGATGCAGTCCTGTATGATTCCCCCCCCCCTCGGGGAATATATTATCATTAACAGGCATTAGAACCAAATTCTGCAAATTTCTGCAATTAGTTTATTTATAGCTGTCCCCCCTTCCCTGGCAAACATCTGAAGAGATTACATTCAAAACAATGTAAACGTTTATTATAAAAATAATTATTTATATAAACAACAAACATTTGTTCAAATATCTAGAATACAGTGAAGATCCTTTTGGGTGGTAAGTCAACTAACTCATACCCATAATGTACCTACTGAAATAAAGTCTTATTGATTTAAATGGGCCTGCTCTGAATTTTAAAAGCATTGAATGTCGCTTTGTATTTTTAGACTGCTTTCACAACTGTATATTGCTATATATATATATTTTTTAGATGAGTCAATTAAAAATGTCAGTTCCTAAAACTGTAATGTTAATGGACACAGATGTATTTTCCCACTCTATGTATTAATCATTATCCTTTTAGTGTAAAGTAGAGCTGCAGTTTTCATGAGGAATTTTTTTAAAAATGTCAGCAAAGAAGGTTTATATCTGTTATCGTCTGTCTTAATACACCACACTCCCAAAGAATGAATGAAATACATGCTAATAATAATGCAAATATAACCAAAAGCTATATATCTTTTTCAAAAGCCTCTTGCAAATTTGAATTCTAAACCTAATAATTTATCTTGTCATACAGATACATTTTGTTTTGCCATTTATATCCAGATTTTAGAAAAGTTCATTCAAAAGCTCTCCAGAAAACTTAGGTCTCGGTAAGTAAGCTTTAGTTTGCATTCAAAGCTAGCAGTCTAACAATTATGTTCAACATAAGAAGCTTGTAATCAGTATGTTTACGTATTTTTAAAACAGTCAAGCTACAAGTTGACTCCATTTTCTTCTCCAGCCCTCTAATCATGTATGCATTCACTGCTCAGTTCCTGCCATTTGTCAAATATTCATGCAATAGCCAGCTCAGTTTGGTATGGGTTTTAATTTGTGTGTTACCAGAAGATACTGTTGTCTAGAAATAGACACCTGAAGATTTGATGTTTGCACTAAACTGAAGCTGATGCCCGCTTCCAATCCCTGCTCATTCCCAATATTTACTGTAGGTTACTGTATTCTGAAAGAACAGTATTATTCCGAAAGCAAATTTAAAACTCTACTAAACTCACACTGAGCTACCATTAAATCCTTGCTCGATACAACTTTGGAGTCACTTATCAATATTTTTATTAAAATATCCTACTGACTTCAGAGGAGTAAATTAAGCAAACTTAAGCAAACTAAGTTTAATATACTAATTTCAGGGTTTGTTTCTCATCAGTGAATTGGTTTTCCTATTTTAGTTCTCAACAGTAGATGATGCAAACATGTTGGCTAGGATGTAAAGAAATGTAAACCTAGTTCTGTGTTCTCAGACACCCAACAAAACCAAACTGCTTTTGAAACTGAAAGGTGTTTCAAAAGTGGTGTATGTGATATAGTGTGACAGTCAGCTGATTAAAGGGAACGGAAGAGTAGATTTCACTGAGCTGACTCAAGCCTTCTACATGAATCTCGGCAGCTCTATAAATTCCAGTCTCTGCTTCAGCATTTTTACATGCAAGACTGCACAATAAATATTGTCGCCAGGTAGTATAGTCTGATTTTAAGCTATTTTTAAGAATGCAGAACCATTTTTAAATGACAGAAGAGAGTAACATGAAATAACAGATTTTAAGAACTTGAGATCTCTCACAGTCTCACTAGTTGCGAGCACCTGGAAGCCTGCAGCAGAGGCAAAAATACAAGGCATATTCAAAACTACATATTTAATCAATAGTATCTTACTTCTGCAGTAAAAGGCAGCATGTTTCAGATGAAACACAGAATTGAAAAACCAGTGGAAATGACACTAAAAACAGTGAATTCACTAGTAAGAGAATGTCAGAAAGGCAAATAGTCACTCAATGCTCTTATAAGAATGCAATTTTAAAAATCTTGGCTTTTTCTTCTTCAAAAAATATCATCGTAGCCTTCTATAGCATCCTTGCTATTAGCAACAGCATAAAATTCACTACTGAACAAAGAAACCATCTCTTTGGATGGCTGAAACTGGTTGCAGCAAATCTTATTTCTGTGCATGTAAGCTCTGATCCTTAGAATATTTTCTAGCAGGCTGTCCTGCGGCCTGTTCTTCAGCTTGTGCTTTATCAGATTCATTTGTGAAACTGTACACTCCACGGCTGCACTGCTGAAGGGCAGGGTGAGAAGTGCAAGGGCAAATAATCCTAGCTCGACAAAATCTTTATCTCCCACCTCATCTGTATGTTTTACAACCTCTACCCAGAATTGTTCTATCTGGCTATCTTCTGTGTTTGTCCAAGAAACTGTATCCAGATTCCTCCACTGTTGCTCCAATTGCAAGCGATCCCCTCTGTATAATGACAAAAACGACAAAGCTGAAAATGCAGGTCTTAGGGGACTCAGAACAACTGAAGGGTTTAGAGCGGTGAGCGATTCAAGATGATCCACATTTGGGGGCAGGCGAAGCTTTACTTGGTTTGCAAGCTCAAAAACACAATCCCGACACGCCGTTTGAATGGCGCCTCTAATTTGGCAAGAGATTTTGGCTTCTGCTAATTCCGAGAGGAACACTTGCCCAAGATTAGCTTCGGAGAGGGCCAGGTAGTTTTGCTTGCTTCTAATGTCATAGTTCATTATGGATGACCATGTTGGAAAGGCAGAAGGCTTCACGACTCTCTGTAACAGAGTCTTGTAGAACATCACTAACTCAGTAATCAGTTTAACTGGATTAGCAGTTTCCAAAAGAAATAACTTGCTGAGCCTGTTTGCTTCCTGGACAAGAGGCTGCAGAAAAACCAGGTAAAGTCTGTTAAGAGGCTCAGAGTACATTTGATAGAGCAGCTCAGCACTGTAGTCCTTTTCAGTGTCTTTTACAGACTGAAAATGCAACTTCAGAGTATCATACAGGCTAAGTATTCTATTAATGCAAGGGCTAATAGACAGCCATCGCGTGTCGGTAACTTGCAGCACCTTCAGGGCAACCTCTCCAACGTTGATTGCAGCGTACAGTTCAGCGTACCGTTTCTGGTGAAACGTGCTTTGAGAAAACCACAAGTAGGTCTGCGCAACCATATATTCTAGGTTCAGGGGAAGCACATCGATCGCTCTCGATAAGCACAGATAAATGGAGTGGCATGTGCACTTAATAAAAACACCGCAAGGATTGAGTTCACAAAACTTTTTGAGCAGCGAATTTTTGTGACCACATAGACTTGCGCTGAGCCCATCGGCACCGATTCCAACACACTTCTTTATGTTGAGCTTATTTTCGTTTAGGAATGATAAGAGAGCCTCTGTGATTAGATCAGTGTCATTGAAAGTAATTAACCCTACAAAGGAGGATACAATGCATTTCAGCTTATTGCTGAAGTATCGCACCATCAAGCAAAGCTGCTTCTGCGAAGATGCGTCAGAACTTTCGTCAATGATCAAGGAGTAGTGTCCGTTGCCAATATCCCGAAGCAGCTCTTTGTGGACTGTAGGACCTATGATATCTCTTATAATTGTAGAGCACTTTGTCCTATGAAGGCTTATGTCTTTCTCGGCCATTCCACCAATAATACATCCCAGGTGATCAACAGTAAAAATGCTCATATGGCAAGCTATGTGTGTGGCTAATTTCAGAGCACACACATTCATGGAATCATTCGTTTCCAGATGCTTGAATTCATCGAATGTGTCTGGTTTGGCTCCAAATGACATTTCTTTTTCAAGTTGCAATGAATGCCGCTTCTCAAACTCATAGGAGTGTTTATCCACATTCATTGAAGGCTGTGAGAGCAACGCAACGTGCTTCTTATGCTTCTTAGTTTTACTGTGCGACACAAGATCGCTGTGGTGAGCTCTGATTTCGCACATGCAGTATCCGCATGCTGCTTTTGACTCATCTCCTGGTACCCTCCGAACCCAGTCTTTTAATCCAGCTTCTCTTTCCCAGTCTCTGCAATACCTTTTACCGTACTTTTCCCACTTTCCAATCTGTTTGCAAGCCATCACAGTAACGTGCTCACCGGCACTCTTTGTAAACAAAGCACTGTTTTCTCTCTGAAAACAAACCAGAAAACATTTTTTTAAATGAAGTTTTAAAGCAAGTTTATTTTTTTAAAAATTGCCCTTGTGAAAAAAACACACCACACAGTAAAGATTGGCTTGTGCTATAACATTCCCACTAACAAAGGCGGTAGATTTGTTTTCCTAAAGCAGTCAAGTAATGACTGCCAAGTTCTGAATTCTGAAGGAGCGTCTCCACCTCCATCGTTCTGCCCGGACACTGAGGTCCAGCGCCGAGGGCCTTCTGGCGGTTCCCTCGCTGCGAGAAGCCAAAGTTACAGGGAACCAGGCAGAGGGCCTTCTCGGTAGTGGCACCCGCCCTGTGGAACGCCCCCCCCACCAGATGTCAAAGAGAAAAATAACTACCAAACTTTTAGAAGACTTCTGAAGACAGCCCTGTTTAGGGAAGCTTTTAATGTTTAATAGATTATTGTATTTTAGTGTTTTGTTGGAAGCCGCCCAGAGTGGCTGGGAAAACCCAGCCAGATGGGAAGGTAATAAATTATTATTATTATTATTATTATTATTATTATTATTATTAGGTGCCATCCCCACTCTCTGCCAAGTGGTACCAAGATCCCAGGGGTATTCCAGGCGCTCACCCAGGGTCTGTGCTCAGTTGGAGAATTGAAGATGAGGTGGAGACAGTTGTAGCTTTAAGAAATATGATTTAGGCACATATTTACACCTGAATTTGGATGGAAGGAATCTAGATCTTACAGTACGGTCATCTCCAGCAGGACTTGTTGCCCACAGCAGTGCAGCACTGGATTCCCAGCCAGCCTTCAGCCAGCCTGCCCAAGATGGAGCTCAGTCTCCCCCACTTCTCCTTCCCAGCACACCTTGCTAAAAACACTCTTTTCCTGTCACCTCTCTCACCACCCCATCACCTTGGCAACCTCTGTCTGCTCAGGCCCAAGATTCCTCTTAGATGGGCCATCAACACCTTTGGTCATGTGCCTCTATCCCAGGTGAGGCCCTGGCTTGGAAAGGAAGTTTAGCCTGTATTCTCCCACTGGTCTGAATTCTTCCCTTCAATAATCTCCAGATATTAACTAGATCCTGACATTCATTAATTTATTGGGTTTAGGGGGGTCTTCCTCTCCCCCCCCACAAATCTGTAACAATATTTATCCATGTAGTATCTCACCTGCAAAGTTCGTGAAAGCTAATCACCATCGATTGAACATAGGAAGGAAACAATGTGTTGCTGCGAACGAGCTGATCAAACTTTGTTCTAGCAGCAGGCAGCTGGGCGAGACCTGAAGAGTATTCAAATCCCACTTAGCCATGGACCACCAAATGGCCTTCATCAAATCATATGGTCTTATTCCTCCATATAAGGGGAATATAAATGACTTCCGACAAAAACATGCAGCCAGAGCAGGGGTGCCAACTTGAATAAAATATTGGGGAAGGGGGGCAGGTAAGCCCCATCCCACATAACTGATCACGACACAGCACCCCCCATTTGAATGGCAATGCTTATCAGCTTGGGGGGGCCTGGCCCCCTAAATTATTTTATGGGGGGTGAAGAGACCTCAGCCCCTAGGTGTTTGGCTCCTGTAAGCCAGAGATTGAACCAGAGACCCTCTGCATCTAAGCTAGATGTTATATCATAGAGCCACAAGCCCTTCCCTGAAGTAAAAGAGTGAGATTCATAGCATTAACCTGCTATGAATGGAGCAACTAGCAGTTGATGCTACAGTTTTAGAAATGAAACAAGGTATAGCATTATTCATGTAGAGACCTACTGCACAAACAGAAAGAAGAATCTAGAGCAGGCATCCCCAAACTCAGCCCTCCAGCTGTTTGGGGACTACAATTCCCATCATCCCTGACCACTGGTCCTGTTAGCTAGGGATGATGGGAGTTGTAGTCCCAAAACAGCTGGGGGGGCCAAGTTTGGGGATACCTGATCTAGAGCCTCATTCCCAATGTGCATTCGTGGCGCTGCTTCACAAGATACATAAATAAGTACAAATATGATTAAATGGGACCTGCAACAAAATGTTGCAGTGGAACCTCCCTACCAGAGGTAGGAAAATTTCAAGCAATGATTCCCTCCCTGCCAGCGGTTCCACTCCTCCTAACCTGTGCCAGTTTGTTTTTCTTTTATGGCTGCCAGTCTACAAACCATGTGTTCATTCAGCTACTTTAATGACATTTATTATTTTTTTTGCTTTAAATTAGCTTAAAAAAACTTTTCCAAACCTCGGGATCCCCTTAAGCGTTGCTGTTACAAAAAAAGAAAAAGAGGTTGATTGCTATGTTCAGTGACAATTGGTTTTACCTGAAAAACTCGAGCTCTGGCCAGGCTTGTAGTAGTAGCTTAGAGGCAGTCTTTTCTAGTACTGTATTGCTTCTCTCATAGTATTTGTTTTTTTAAAGAAACAACGCATAAGCACCCGGCATTTCCTTGATCAAGTGAATCTCTCCCTTGGATACCTTTTCATGGCACTACGGAAACAATCCAGACGGGGAGAAAGAGAGAAAAAATGGAGCCTTTTTCTCTCTAAAGCCTTTATATAAAAATATATATATCTAGAAATCACCCCACTCTTCCAGAGCGCTTGATATCCGTCCTGGCCACAAAGGAAGGCAAGCACAGAAACCAAGTGAGCTTACAAATTGGGGATCCAAACACATCTCTTTGTAAGCACCTAGGCGACAGTCACCTTTCCACACTCAAGAGATGTTGATGCCACGAGGCAAAAGTTATCAGGTTACGCGCATGCATGCATACATTACGAACCCATTCTGCAGCTGCCCGTTTGCAACCCGTGCCAAATCCTCGGAATCGGTTGGTGTTTCTGCAAAGCCCCATTCGTTCTCTGTCCCCCACCCCTACCCACGGAGCCTCTACGCTCCCCACTTTTAGGACCCCCCGATTCCCTTACATCTGAAGCCGGCAGGAGAGATCAGAAGCCCTTTTGCAATGCGATTCCTTCCCAGTCGGTTGCAAGCACAGGCGCTTAGCCTCGAGTAGCGTGGAGAGGAACCCTCTCCATCCCGGAGACAGCAGCTTTCTGCCTCCACCCGTCCATTTCCTCTGCTAGCAACAATCCCGCTTTGGCTAAGGCCCAGCCAATGGAGCCGCTCTCCCGCCTAGCCCAGCCCAGGCTCATCCCTCCGCCAACCGATTTGCAGCTGCTGCTGCGCGCAAAGGAGAGGGAGGCGCAACGGGAAGCGCCATGCGCGCTTTTTGGAGAGCGCATGGCAGGCAGTTGTGGAAGCGACTGGTAGGTTTCTCCTCGCGGCTGTAGCTGTGAATCCGGTGGAGACTGACCTGCTGTAGTCCACTGGTCCCATCACCTCCTGGCAAATAGAAGGGGAAGAAATGGAGGCAGTGAGAGATTTTACTTTCTTGGGCTTCATGATCACTGCAGATGGTGGCAGCAGCCACGAAATTAAAAGACGCCTGCTTCTTGGGAGAAAAGCAATGACAAACCTAGACAGCATCTTAAAAGCAGAGACATCACTTTGCCAACAAAGATCCGTATAGTTAAAGCTATGGTTTTCCCAGTAGTGATGTATGGAAGTGAGAGGTGGACCATAAAGAAGGCTGATCGCTGAAGAATTGATGCTTTTGAATTATGGTGCTGGAGGAGACTCTTGAGAGTCCCATGGACTGCAAGAAGATCAAACCTATCCACTCTTAAGGAAATCAGCCCTGAGTGCTCACTGGAAGGACAGATCCTGAAGCTGAGACTCCAATACTTTGGCCACCTCGTGAGAACAGAAGACTCCCTGGAAAAGACCCTGATGTTGGGAAAGATGGAGGGCACAAGGAGAAGGGGATGGCAGAGGACGACATGGTTGGACAGTGTTCTCAAAGCTACCAGCAAGAGTTTGACTAAACTGCGGGAGGCAGTGGAAGACAGGAGTGCCTGGCGTGCTCTGGTCCATGGAGTCACGAAGAGTCAGACACGACTAAACAACAGCAAACAACAAAGTCCATGTGGGTGGGTGCAGGGAAGAAGAAACGAGCTGGTTAGAGCAGGGCGATGGCAACACCAAGGTTGCTGGTTTGATCCCCGTTGGGAACAGCTGCATATTCCTGCATTGCAAACGCTCTGGCACCGCGCAGCCGGACCTCCTCAGCACTCTGCTCAGCCTCAGGAACCCATCAGCACAGCAAAGAAAACATTCTTCTTCTTTTGCATATAAATTTTTATTGTTTTCTTTACATAATCTTTTTTCAACAACATCCATCCATCAAAATATACAGTGGTACCTCAGGTTACATACGCTTCAGGTTACATACGTTTCAGGTTACCGACTTTGCTAACCCAGAAAAAGTACCTCAGGTTAAGAACTTTGCTTCAGGATGAGAACAGAAATCGTGCCGTGGCGGCAGCGGGAGGCCCCATTAGCTAAAGTGGTGCATCAGGTTAAGAACAGTTTCAGGTTAAGAACAGACCTCAGGAACGAATTAAGTACTTAACCCGAGGTACCACTGTATACTGGTCCTGGATCCTTCCTGTCAATTTGGCTAATTCCACATAGTCTGTCATCTTCGCCTGTCACTCTGCAATGGTAGCAGCAAAGAAAACATTCTGGGCCATAACCTGTCATGGAATTCCACTCAGTATTGATCTAGAGCAGATTCCAGTGTATAAATCAGGACCTCACACTTTTCTTTCCCTCACCTGTGGTACTGTGGATACTGTATTGGCCTTCCTCTTCTTCCTATGCCATTCTTCCTATGAGAAGCATGCTACTCTGGTAGCGGCAGCCCCATTAGATTCGTCAATTAATCTTGCTGGTTAATGCTAAAGAGGATAATTAGAATTGCTTTGTGCAAGGGGAGCGGAACCTGAAGACCTCCATGTCATTGAAATTCTACTCAATATTGATCCAGAGTGGATTCCAATGTATAGTTAGCAGAGTAAAACTTAAACACGTTGCAGGATTCCCAAAAAATAGACCAGAGGCAATTATATTTCATTCAGCAGAGCTTTACTGCTACTGAAGGCAAATGCACATAATGGTCACAAATCCAATACATTCAGGATTGGCACTGTCCATAAGAAGTCCATTTGCTGCAGACTTAATTTAAACTTACAATAACTTATAACAAGACTAAACCTTAACACTATATACATAACACCACACCAGAAGGAAAGAGATAGAAAAGAGTGAAACCCAGGCTTCTTCCGGCCTATTTCTAGAGTCAGCATGACCTTGGCAGAAGAGATAAGAGAACCAGTTTAAGCCAACTGTACTCAGCTTCTCTGAAGGAATAACCCAAACATCATGAACCTTCTGCTTGTTTCTTTCACGCAGACAAGCTTCCAGAACCCTATTGAATTAAGTAGAATAGGAAAGATCTCTACACATCAGATCAATACTTTCTGCACCAAGAAATGCAGTTTTTTCTCCAACTTTTATTTCAGATTCCAACAATCGCCTTCATCTATTTTTAATACATTGCACATATACCAGCCACATTCATTTATTCTTCTTTCCTTTCCTTTCCTTTCCTTTCCTTTCCTTTACTTCCCTCTCCTTGCTGTAGGCTTTGGTCACTGCTTCCCATTTTCTGTGTTCTCGTTTTTTAGCTTAGGAATTGTTTCTGCTGCATATAGCATCACTGCCTTACATGTTGGAAACCGAGGTTGACATGGTTTACCATCTTCTGTCTTCAGCTGAATGAGCACTCTTCCTCTTTACTGTGCATGACGGTTCCACTCCCTGAGATTCATTTTGTTTTCCTCCAAAAGCACATTAAGTCCAACTGCTGCACATACATCTTGAATTTCTGTAGATGTTGGATTTTCAACTGCTTTCTCAAGTGGTATTCCTTTTGGTATTGTCTTCTTGTTATTTACATAGGCAGGATATATGCAGATAAACCGAGACTTATCGGTGGGCAAAGAAGGCACAGCCCAATTCATGGTGTCCGCGCCAGCACACTGTGCCAGCCCTTAAAGCCCAGCTCAACAGTAGCCTGGCTGAGCCACAATTGGGTCTTAACTTTTTTTTATTGCCTTCCAAATGTTTCCTTTCTCAACTACGATTTCCCTTATATTGCAAATTGGAGTTTTCCCCACTTTATGGAAGGGTTGTAGTTCAGATTGTTGTTATCCTCATATTGCAGGTGTGGAGCAAGGATCACAACAACTGTGTATCTTTACATCATATTCTGGATGTGTGCAAGTGCTGATGTATACAGATTTATGACAAATCTTAAGCACCTATTTTTTTCTTTATTTTCTATAAAATCACAGATTCTATATAATCATCAGTTTGTCTGGTGCTTTACAAAGTTCTAGGGGACAGGTCCTTGCCCTGAGGACCTTACAGTCTGAGAATGGGAAACAACAAAGGGGAGGAAATGGAAGTACAGATAAACAGGGAAGCGATATGTGGTTATTTCAGTTACACATGCTTAGGCTTAGTTGCAGGCTGAGTAGGGCAAAGGAACTAGAGATGCAATTTAAAAAACAAACAAAAACCACCCCTCCACTCCAATCCATGTACAGGAGTTTAATGTTAGAGTTTAATGTTACTTCAGCACTGGAGATGGGAAAGAGTTCTACACTGCATCTCAGGGTAGCAGGTTAACCTGGGGTGTAGTACTAGCCCCATGGCAAAGACAGCTCTCACTTCTAACACCAGCCCAGGGACGCGGACTTATAAAAAATATTGGGGGGGCCCGGGAAAGCTCATGAATAATAAATAAGCTCATGAATATGCAAATAAAGTGGCGCCGCCTCCTCGTGAGCGAATAGGGGAGAGCGTGCTGCGCCTATTAATCAGCTCCAAAGGAAATTGGGTGGAGCTTTTGCTCGGGAGGGAGGGCAGGAGGCATGCAGCCCGCCCCTCCCTGTGCATTTTGGGCTGGGGGAGGGGCGGCGATGGCGCTCTGCTGGAGGGGCGCCGGAGATTATTGGGGGGGCAGAGCCCCCCCAAACGAATTTTTGAGGGGGCTCGGGCCCCCTCAAGCCCCATGGAGTCGGCGCCTATGCACCAGCCCATACCCCACCCACAGCACCTGTTGCCTGGGGAGGTGGCTGCCTAATGGAAGGGCCATTGGGAAATTTGAAGTAAGGGAGGTGGCATCACACAGGTGTTCTGAGCGGCAATTCTGAGCACATAATAATAATAATAATAATAATAAATTTTATTTATATCCCGCCCTCCCCAGCCGAAGCCGGGCTCAGGGCGGCTAACAACAGTCAAATAGTCAAACAGTCAAATTCTAAAAACATTCTAAAAACATTTCATTATAAAAATTAATTAAAATCAAATTGTTGGCAACCGATTAGGCAAGATTCTGTGCAGGTTGCCAGAGGAGGGAGTCAGGCTGCGCCCTGACCAAAGGCCTGGTGGAACAACTCTGTCTTGCAGGCCCTGCGGAAAGATGTCAGGTCCCGCAGGGCCCTAGTCTCTTGTGACAGAGCATTCCACCAGATTGGAGCCGCCGCCGAGAAGGCCCTGGCTCTAGTTGAGGCCAGCCTAACCTCTCTGAGGCCTGGGACCTTGAGGATGTTGTTATTTGCAGACCGTAGGTTTCTCTGTGGGGCATACCAGGAGAGGCGGTCCCGTAGGTAGGGCAGCCAGGGAGCAGGAGACACTCAGGATCACGGAACTCGAGTAATGATGATGATGAGTTATTGCATTGATATCCCACCTCCCTCCTCCAGAGCTCAAAGTGGCATTCATGGTTCTCCCCCTCATTTAATCTTACAACAACCCTGTAAGGTAGGGTGGGCTGAGAGGCAATGCCTGGCCCAATATTATCCAGTGACCTATACAGCTGAGTGGGGATTTGAACTCTGGACTCTCAGGTCCTAGTCTGACACCCTAACCATATTATATTATATTAATTATATTATATTATATTATATTATATTATATTATATTATATTATATTATATTATATTATTATATTATTATATTATAATATTATACAGTAATATTAATGGCAGTGCTTTTTTTCTTGAAAAAATGTTTAGGGGTACTCTCATTTTTGACTCAAGAAAACTACCATTATATAATTCAAATCAGGAAAAATACATACAGTAAATGGACAAAAGTACAAAGATTCACAAAATGTTTAGGGTATGTGTACCCCTGCGTCCCCCCAGAAGAAAAGCAGATATATATTGTATTGTATTGTATTGTATTGTA